ATCATACGGAAGAAAAAGCAATTTATGTATCATATGGATACATAGATGTCCATACAATAAACGCCCATTTGTATATTTCATACACATTTATATACAACTAAGATTTAGGAATATACTTCCTTAACTGGATCCCTTCCCAATATTTAAAGTCTTTTCTACCTTTAAATAAACAAACAAACAACTCCCAGGAGCCACTCCTTCCTCCTCTTTACAACACAACCAAACTGTGGGAGAGCTGTCTATGCTCACCATCTGTTTCCTCACCTCCCACACCTCAACCCAGGCCAGTGTGGCTTTCACCTCCATCACAGAACCAAAACAGCTCAAGTTAAGGTCACCAATGACCCACACACATCCCTAAATTCCATATATTAAACAGAGGAGCAAATCTAAGAATGGATGTTATGATATATTTGAAGCTACATCATGTGCTGCAGCTGTTTCCCCACCTGGCTGTGTGGATATGGACAAGTTGCTTTAAGCCTTGGTCTCCCATTGCCTGCTGTACCCAAAGAAATGAATGACAATCCAGAATTAATAACAGGTCACAACTCCAGAATTAATAAGAGAGAATTTACTGCTAATGAAGAGATATCATCAATTAGAAAAACTGATTAACTCCAGCCTGGGGCAACAGAGAAACCCTGTCTCTACTAAAAATAGAAAAACTGGCCAGGTGGGTGGTGCACCCCTATAGTCCTAACTACTTGTGGGGCTGAAGTGGGAGGATCACATGAGCCAGGGATGGAGAGGTTTCAGTGAGCTGAGATCACACCCCACAACTGCACTCCAGCTTGGGCCACAGAGTGAGATACTGTCTCAAAAAAAGAAAAGAAAACTCAATAACTCAAATGAAGCTTATGTGAAACCAGCTCTTTACTCTCATTTCCTTCTTTCCATTAGTCCCTAATTAATGTAAACTGCATATATATGTAGTAAAAACCTGAAGAAAAGAGCTGTGATCTTTTTGACTCAAGGCTTTTAAATACATCCCAAAATTCAGCTATAAAACACATGGTCTCTTTCCTGAAATTCCACTGCGGTATACTGATTGTTTTAAATACCCCACTGAGTATTTTATACACAAGAACTTTCACATGGAGAAGCAATAAAACATGGTAGTAATGGTTAAGATCTTGGACTGTGGAGCCAGATTGCCTGTGTTTATATCCTGGTTCCATCACTTATTGGCTGAGTTACCTTGGCCAACTTAACTTCTCTGGGCCTCAGTGGGGATGATGATGATAATAGTGAGAACTAAATTGCATGAAAAGCCTGTGTTCTGTGCCTGGAACTCAGAAATGCTTCGTACATAGCAGATATCACACAGAAATAATACAACATGTGATCTTTAAAAGTCAATTTCTTACAAAAATAGATGCTTACTATTCTTTTTATATTTTCTTGATAATGGCTGAGAATAATAATAGCTACCAATTATAGAGCACTTAGCCATTACTTAGCACTTTTGTGTGAGGGTTTCACTCTGTTGCCTCCGATGGAGTGCAATGGCACGATCTCAGCTCACTGCAACCTCCATCTCCTGGTCTCAAGTGATCCTCCCACCTCAGCCTCCTAAGTTGCTGGGACCAGAAGCTTGTACTACCAGACTCAGCTAATTTTTCTATTTCTTGTTTTTGCAGAGATGGGGTTTTGCCATGTTGTACAGGCTGGTCTCAAACTCCTGGGCTCAAGCAATCTGCCCACCTTGGCCTCCTAAAGTGCTGGAATTACAGGCGTGAGCCACAGTGCCCAAGCATAACGTTTTCCGTATCAAATTTTAAAACAGATTATCCTTTTAAGCCTCCAAACTTTGTATAGTTTCAGAGCAGAAATATAACTTAAAGAGACATCATGGGAGAAGATGAGTCTTAAATAACAATTATAAAAGGGAGGTTTAAGAATGTAATTATATTCTCCAACAGAAGGCTGAAAGGTTAAAGATTATTAATATATATCAAAGTTTCATTAACAAGGTAAAGAGCAACAGCGTCCTTGGGGAGATGAATACTCTCACAGGCTCTCTTGATTTCTCCAGATAAAGGTTGGAAGGACACTATCCCCTAACTGAGCAGTCCCTATCTATGCATTTGGCATTTAGTGTAGATGAATCACTGCGATTACTCCAAATCTGTTCCATCACGATTATCACAATTTTTACAAGAGACAACCCCTGTCTTCATTGAGTTTAATAAGTTAATACTTCAACACAGCCTTTCAGTCATGTAATTACATTCTTATTTATTGCATCTACAAACCAAATAAAGCAGTAAGTTATTCCTGAACGAGAAACCAAGGTTAAGAACATCAGATCAGAGCACTTACAGCTTCTGTGGTTTGTCACAGCTTAAAGTAATAACAAAAAACAAATAGTAATAGCAGCAAGCATTTACTGAGCACCTACTACACACCAAGTTTTCTGTACATGTCAATTATCTTAATCTTTACAATAATCCTATAAGGAAGGTATAAGATCAAGTAACTTGTCCAAGATCACAAAGGTAGCAAGCGGAAGGCAGGAGGTTTGAACACAGAAGTCTAGAGTCCCAAAAGAATACACTCCTAGCTAACATCTATACTAAACAGCCCCTGCAGCCCTGATCCCCTCCCCCAATATGCTACAGTTGGTGGAATCATATCACAGAAGCTGTTTCCTGTACATGCTCTTTATCATCCAAGCATTTCAACTTTGAGCCGTCATTTACAGTTCCTCTTATCACAATTAACAACAATCTGTGGTAATCCCTAAAATACCACATAGCACTGCTCCTTATACACTAGCTCGTTTCAGCTATTTTTTCCAAATTTCTCTTCTTAAATGGGACTACTGAGCACAAGGCTGGGCCTTGAGAGGCAGAGTGAAATGTCACCAGGCATTCTGCTATGTGTTCTCTAAGGAAAAGCAGTCATTTCTATTTAACAACAATGACACACAATTATTCTCTTAAAAAAGATGGTCACTTAACACCATGCATAGGTTCCCTTATGATAGTGGCTCATACAGCCACCACCCCACTTTGTGATTCATATAACCTGTAGTCAAATTACTTCCTATCTAGGTTATTCCTTACAATTCACTAGTAAAAACTGAAAATATGTAGTCCACAACTTGCGTTATGAAAATCTGAACTTCTGAACAAAGATATGATCTGAAAAGATCTATCAAATTCTCAGCAATAATGGCCCTTTGTGACACAGATGAACATTTTATAAGCAGATTCCAATGATGTGATGCACAATACAGTGAAAGTTTTATGTTAAGAAGTTTTCTGAAGAGAAAATAAAAACTTTTCTGACAAATACTATTTTGAAACTTCCACAACAATACTGAGAGGATAGAGTCCAGGCAGATTTCAATGTGAAGTTATAAACACCAGGCTCCTGTCTAACTAACAAACTGCTTTGCAGTGCTTATGCCATATTGCTGATAAAACAATACTCAACAGTTAGCCTTGGTTATTGGAATAGAAAAGCTTTAAAAATCTAAATCTCAGTAAATTCCCTCCACTGATCCTGAATTTCACAGACTAGCAACTGTTTCCAGATGTTCTAGACTACCACCTCTACATCAACAGCTGACCCCTGAGGGAGTGGAGTCTCAGGCCCCTCTGAGAATCTTCCCAGGGAAGGGCAAAGTTCACCAGCCTATATCTAAGTGCCAAAAGAATACTACTCTATACTTTGTAGCAGATGAAGGGAGAAAGGTGATAACAATCTCAAACTCTGACTAAAAATCAAGCTCTCCATTTGCTCAATTTGTTAGGAAAAACAGGTCTCCTCACAGATTCCAAACCAAAGATGTAGGGGCAGTGAATTAGCTTGAAGACAGCTCTGGTCAAATGCATGGGTTCTCCCACCGAGAACTCTCTTCTGAAACTCCACATGGTGGATCGTTCTTGTCTCAGTACTCTGCTCCAATGTCACCCTCTTGGAAAGGATTACTTTCCTGACCACCCTATGGAAAGCAGTCCTCAGGTCCTCTTTATCACATCTTACTCTTTTATTTTCACAATAGTATTTATTAGTATTCCAGAATACCTCATCTATTTTTTTATTTACTTAGTCACCTTGAGTACAAGCTCCATAGGTGTAAGGACCATGTTGGTCTTGTTCCCTACTGAATTATCAGTACCCGGAATGCAATGGGCATTTATTACATATTTGTTACACAATTAAAGCTAAAAGATAGGATAGTGATTTTGTTATCAACTACCAGGCCTTTAACGGTGAGTTAGAATTCTCTCTCTTTCCATAATCTGAGGGTCCATTCAATCAGTAAATATTTATTGAGCACCTACTGTGCGCCAGGCACTGTTGCAGGTACAAGGGATACAGCAGTGAGTAAGTCAGACAAGTATCTTAGCTCTAAAGACCTTTTATTTTAGTGGACTGCTAGGAATAAGCAAAAGACCTTTTATTTTAGTGGACTGCTAGGAATAAGCAGAAGTCTTGCTCACTACAATGCCTGGGAGATCCAGAACACCCTCTACAAACCTTCCTTGAGAGAAGGAGCTACGGGAGATACCCGAACGAAAGGCAAACATTCTCCAACGGGCACTTCCAAAGCACGAATCAGGGGTTTCCCTAAACCAGTTGGGCGGCTCTTCCCACATGCTCTGTTCACCTACGGGAACCCCAATCAGCAGAGCTCAAGTAACGAAAAAACTTGGGTCAAGGGCTACGGTTTCTAGGACTTGGAGGTGGTGAGGGGAGGAACCAGGAAACAGAGCGACAAGGAATCGTGGCAAAAGCCCTGAGCTGGAACCCTGAGGAATAAGCTCTGGTTGTCACCAACTTACTAGGTGACCTTGGGCCAGTCCCGAGCTGCCCAGGCATCACTTCCCCCGGGGGTATAATAAGGAGAAGGCCGGGAGGGTGGAATTCAGGGTCGGGGGAAGCGGAGGCCAGGAGGCCAGGAGGCCAGGCCGAAGCCGCGTAGGGTAGGGCAACGGCCGGCATGCTGAGGCCAGCGCCGGGCCGGGCGGGGGCGGCTCACCCACCGAGCGCCACCTGGCAGGCCCTGCGCAGCTGGGAGTGCTGGGGCCGCTTCACCTCCTTGTCGGCTAGGATCTTCTCCAGGGCACGGGACACGAACATGCTCTTGGTTTGGCTCTCCTGCATGGCCCCAGCCCGGCGGGGGCTGACAGCCCCGCGGGCAGGCGGCGAGACCGAGGTGGCGAGCGAGGCAGCGGGCACGGCCTCCTGGCCCGCACCTGCCACGTCCGTCCGTGCCGCCCCGTCAGGAAGCGACGCCTCGGCCCCACGGCGCCGCCATGTTGGAGCGCGTCACGTGACCACGTGACTGACGAGGCAGCTACGGCCGCTGGGCGTCCGTCGGCCCCGTGACCCGAAGCGGGGCGGAGCCTACGTCTGCGGGCGGGGCGGAGTCAGGTGGGCGCGAGGCTATTGGCGAGGGTGGAAGGAGGAAGAAGAGAAGGTGGGGAGGGAAGCGGGCGAGGGCGAAGGGTAGAGGGAACCTAGGAGCTAAAGAAAGGTGAAAGGGAGGTGAGGTGGTGATGGAGGTGAGAGGAGGAAAGTGCGGGATAACAGGAGTGAAGAGAAGCACGAGAATGGAGATGACGCGGGTAAGAGGAGAAGGGGAGCGAGAGGATTGGGGAAAAAAGAGAACGGTGACAAGGAGAAATGATAAAAGGGAAAGAGGAGAGGTGAGGGAGCGAGGACTGGAATGAATGGGAGCTGGTGAATGAATGAGAGGTGATGGGGAGTGAGAGACGTCAGGAGGAAGGGGGTGAAAAGAGGAGGGGAGGGCGGGCGCGGCGGCTCACGCCTCTAATCCCAGCGCTTCGGAGGCCGTGGTGGGGGCATCGCTTAAGCCCAGGAGTTCGAGCCCAGCCTGAGCAACATAGAGAGTCCCTTTCAATACAAAATAAAATGTAAAACAATTAACCGGGCCTAGTGGCGCTGCTTGTGGTTCCAGGTACTCAGGAGGCTGAGGTGGAAGGATTACTTGAGCCTGGGAGGTTGAGGCCGCAGTGAGCTGTGATGGCGTCACTGAACTCCAGCCTGGGCCACAGAAGGAGACCCTGTCTCAACGAGAGAAAAGAAAAAAAAAAAAAGGGAGGTGATGTAGTTGTGGAGGAGATGAGGTGGTGTGGGAAGAGGTGAGAGGGAAGCCCAAAAGTAAGAGAAAAAGTGAGGGCAGAGGGAGGGAGGGGGAAAATGAAAAGGAAAGAGAGGTAGACATGAGAAGAGGTGAAAGAGTAGGGGAAAGGGTGAAGGGAGAGGAGGTAGGAAGAGGTGCTATCAGGTGAAGAGTGAAAAAGAAGGAAAAAGATGAAGAGAGGAACAGAAGTTAAAGGGGAAGAGGGAGGAAGGAAAAGAGGAAAGATTTAAAAGGAATGGTGTAGGAAGGAGGTGAAGGGGAGAGAGGTGAGGAAGAATGGAAACATGCTGGGGGAAGGGAAGAGGAAATGGAAGGGGCGGAGGGTAAGGGGAGGTAAAAGCAAGACAGAGAGAGAGAGAGGGAGAGAGGGAAGGTGTGTTTATGTCCACAAGCAGGGTTTCATGACGGCCACTGGCAAGATACACACATCCATGTGCCCTTCCTGTCACAGCAGCAGTGACCTTGCAGTTCAGTGAACTTCTGTTTATTGAGTGCACGACTGTGCATGGTGCCGCCAGGAAGCACTCACCTCCCTCTGGAGTTGATTCTGTTACAAACCTGTGGACCCTCACAGTGCAGTGAACAGGACCTGGGCCTTGGGAGGCAGGGGAAGAAAGCCAGATGGCCAGTGTCACACAGTTTGCAAATGAGTGTTGGAGGACAGATACTCTGGCCCCAAGGCAGCTTCCACTCCATTTCACAGCAAAGATGCTATCACAACAGCCATTATTGGTGTCCCCTGGACCCCTTCACCTGCCTCCCCCAAGGGCAGCTGTGGGCATATGCAAAGAAAGTTGTATTTCTTGGAAACCTCAGAAGCAGAGACATCCCAGGCAGGCATGCTCCAATGCTCAGGTCTCAGTTCAGATGTCTCTGGGAAGCCTCCGATCAGCCTGCCTCAAGGAGCCCTCTCTCTCCCTAACTGATGTTTTCCACAGCATTTTCTGAGCTTTTGTACGTGTTGACTATTTGTTGTTCTCACTAAAGCATAGCAGCAGAGGGGCAGCTGTGTCCCCAGAGCCTGGGTCCTCTGTCATGTTGAATGTTTCATGGACATAAATTCTGTAAGTTCCACTGCTTGTAATGCAATTTTGCAGTCATTCCCAGCAATAGGTAGCGTTTGTTTCTCTACCAGACTGAACCTGGGCTAACCTTGTGACTGGTCTTGACCAATAGAATGCGACAGAAAAGAGGCTGCACAAGTCCCAGCCTGCATCAACAGGCCTGGCTCACTTCTTCCTTTGCTGCCTTGGAATGCTGCACGACACTCGGAAGCAGCTCTGAGCCCAGGGCAGTGGCTCATGCCTGTAATCCCAACATGGGAGGCTGAAACAGGAGGATCACTTGAGCCCAGGTGTTAGAGACCAGCCTGGGCAACATATCAAGACCCCAATGCTACAAAAAAAAATTAAAAAATTAGCTAGGAGTGGGTGATGTCTGCCTGTAGTTCCAGCTACTTGGAGGGCTGAGTGGGAAAATTGCTTGAGCTCAGGAGGTGGAGGCTGTAGTGAGCTGTGACTACGCCACTGCCTTCCAGCCTGGGAGACAGAGCAAAACCCTGCCTCAAACAACAGTAACAACAACAAAATGGTAGTTGCCTCAGAAGAAAGAGCACCTGAAGAGGGAGCCCAGTCGTTCTGGCTCTTCCAGCTGACCCACCAGCTGAATACAGCAGCGTGGATGACTGGCGAGACCAGCAGAAAAACTGCACAGCCAACCCACAGAACAGCAAGAAGACAACAAATCGTTACTGATGCCACTACAATTTGGGGTGTTGCTTGTTACACAGCAATAGATCACTGAGACGCATCTCAGTCCTCATGTGTTGAATGAACGAATGAGTGAGTGAATGAATGCATGAAATTCTCAGAAGAGTACAGTGCAGCAGGCTGGCAGGTAACACATTTTGAGCCACCCCCCCACACACACCCCAGCCAAAGCAAGGCCAGGCTATGTCACTCCCCTACCGAAAATCCAACAGAGGCTCTTTATTGCCCTTGGTATTGAGTCCAAGTTCAGTATCACGCTGTGGCCAACAAGGTGTGATGGGGCCCTGCCATTTTCTCTGACCTCATCTCCCTTCTCCTTTTCTCCTCCTCAGGACTCTCTGCTCCCTCTGGGCTCCTTTTTGTTCCCATCGAGGGCTTGGCTTACACATTTCTGTCCCTCTTAATCAGTGCCTCTCAATGAAGGCAGTACCATCCTCAGGGACATGTTGAAATTTCATTGGGAGGGTATTTTTGTTGTTGTAATAGCGGGAGCAGGAATGCCAAATAACATCCTGCTGAACAATCCTATATAACAATTCTGTGTGTGCCGCACGGCCAGACACGCCTGGAGATGAAAAACTTATTGATAATCTGAACCTAGAACCTAAATCTGCTTTACATATAAAGAAATTTTTGTGTAGTTTTAATAGCACCACATTTTTTAGAAATACATCATTGTAATCCAAGGGGGAAAAATATATATGTATTTTGAGCCAAGGTTTTACTCCATCACCCAGGCTGGAGTGCAGTAGCATGATCATAGCTCATTGCAGCATCAACCTCCTGGGCTCATGGGATCCTCTCACCTCAGTCTCCTAGGTAGCTAAGCTGGGATTACAGGAGCATGCAACACCATGCCCAGCTAATTTGAAAATATGTTTTTGCAGAGATGGGGGTCTCCCTATGTTGTCCCTGCTGGTCTGGAACTGCTGGCTCAAGAAATCCTCCCACCTTTGCCTCCCGAAGTGCTGAGATTACAGATGTGTGCCACCATGCCTGGCTAATTTTTAAATATTTCTTTTGAGACAGAGTCTCACTCTGTTGTCCAGGCTGGAGTGCAGTGGTATGATGACGGCTCACTGCAGCCTCCACCTCTCAGGTTCAAATGATCCTCCAAATTCAGTCTCCAGAGTAGCCGGGACTACAGTGTGTGCCACCATACCTGGTTAATTTTTAAATGTTTTTGTGGACATAAGGTCTCCCTCTGTTGCCCAGGTTGGTCTCAAACCCCTTGTCTCAAGTGTTCCTCCTACTGCCACCTTCCAAAGTGCTGGGTTACAGGACTAAGCTACCACTCCTGGCCAGAAAAAATGTATTTTTTCCGGAAATTTACCAAACATTACTTACCATTTCAAAGCCACATTGCTGTCATTTATATCAGCTATGGTATCTGATTTGCTGCTAAGGCTGGGACTATAGCCGCGTGCCACCATGCCTGGCTAATTTTTTGTATTTTTAGTAGAGACGGGGTTTCACTGTGTTAGCCAGGCTAGTCTTGATCTCCTGACCTTATGATCCATTGACCTCAGTCTCCCTAAGTACTGGTATTAACAGGCGTGAGCACCACACCTGGCCCAAAGCAATTTTTATGACCAGTTCCAAAGTGGCCTACCATGCAGTCTGACCAAGAGTGCTATTTTGGCGACTCAAATACCATGGTAGGTATAAATATGGGTGATGTGGTCTTAAAATGGTGAACAATATTTGGTAAAGTTCTAGACAAAATGCAATTTTCTTTTACACATAGTTGTGTGAGAAGTGAGTGGCTAAGTCCAGCCCACACTCAAGGGGAGAATTATTAGGCTCCATCTTTAAAGGAAACTTGGGTTTCCACAATGCGTTTGCTCACTTATCATCTTGTCTTCCACAGGCACAATGTGAATTCCATGAAGGCAGAGACATTGTCCGTCTTATCCATAGCTCCATGCCCAGAACACATAGTAGGTGCTTAATAAATATTTATGGAATGAATGAATGAATGAATGAATGAATTGAGGTGGCTTGAGTGGAGTTTACAGGATTTCATATTCAATCAGCAGTTATTTGGAGGACCCCTTGTATGTTTCTATACAGTAGGCACAATAATGGCCTTTAAAGATGCCACAGTTGCAGGCAAAACATCCGTATTCCAGCAAGAAAGATGAAGGAACAGTGTCAGGATCCATTGTCCTCTTGTTCCTTAAAAATAGAAACTTCAACTGGGCCTGGTGGCTCATGCCTGTAATCCA